CTGGAACTGATTGGTTGGGATTGATCCTATGCAGCATAGGTGGCTCCCCAATATTAGTTATTAAAAGATACCAGTAATATTTTAAAGTGTCTTTATAAATTGCTCTGTAGAGTCTGATACATACTAAGCCAGTTACACAAAGCATACACAGTTGTGCCTATAAAACGTGTAAGCTCATGTAAATGTTTTAAATACATTCTGGTAGCTTTCAAAAAAATAATCAGAATATCATTTAATATGTCTATTATATCATAAAAGATAAAAAAAAATATAGGCAAAAGCAATAGCAACTGGATAGCTGAAACATGCAAATTATTAATATTTTAAATGTATAAATCGGTTTAAAAGTCAAGTAATTATCTAAAATCTACCTTTCTCTTAACTAGAGGCATTTAAAACACCAATAGCGACATAAAGCACTTGTACTTTATGTGACCTAGACTCATCTTACCACATTTTAGTACAGATTAACTTCCATGTGACCAAATAAATGTTTTTTGAGGGAGCTTTGAAAGCATATCCTTGGCAACCAATTGTTTTTGTATGCCGGTGAAAGCGCATTCGACGCAGATTCAAACCAAGGCAAGCAAAAAGGGGCTCTGAAAAGTTATTTTTTGTGACCAATGGTGTGTTAAAGTTAGCTCAACTCCCATCACCCCAAAGTGACTCATAGCCTCAGCAGTTTTGTGCACTTAGTATCTATTATTCATCCTAAACCACAAGGCTGTATCAGCCACGTGAAGCTGATGATCATCGCCATGTGCATTTTTGACAGCTGGTCACACGTTTCTTCTCACAGCTCAGAAATAGAAGGAACACAGCTTTAACACGATGTTTAAATACTCATTTATCTTTCCAAAAGCCATTGCGGAAAACGCGTACTAAAGGCGCTACTGAATACTGCATGTACACAATAATATCCCAATAACAAGGTAATAAGCTTCTGAAGCTCTTGTTTGCTGTGAAGTTGATTTGACAAAGAAGCACAATGTTATTCATGCCGTCTTTGAGAATGTTAATCTAAGTCTGTAATAATTTATGAGAAGCCTGCGTTTTCATTGTGCTTAGAGGTCAGGCTTACAGTCATACAAAATGCCTCTGCAGCACTTTCGAAGCTAAAACTTAGGAAGTTAAAGTCCTTTGGTTTTCTTGCTTTCTAAGCTTAGTGGAATACAACACAAGTTTCTCTCACAGTATATGGAGTGCATCACAGTTACACTGATGTGCAGCACTGCTGGAGGCGTTGTCCTCTGGAAGCATCTGGGATCAAATCTTGGCAAGCCCTTTAGATGCTTCTCGAGCTAATGCAAACTGTCAGCATATTAGGAATTCAACATAACAGACATTTCATAGCCAGGAATACACGGCAACTTCCTGAGAATCTGTGTTAAATTAGAAAAACATGAAAGACCTTTCGAAATGCATGTGATATGAAGACACGGGGTTCAAAGGTTGTTTCAAGTACAATGCTTAAGATTTAGAATAAAATTACTACACGTGTAGCAAACAATGAGCAACATTCTTAACCATCCTAAGATGGATATTAATAATATTCTCTAATGGAGACGGATGTCCTGTCAGGAGAAACGAGGGAATGCCGAGCTCTCGTCTGCCACACCGTATCACATGGATGTAAACAGAAGTGGATTGGAAAGCATGGGTGTCCTTAATTAATCTACTCAAAACTGTTGTACTAAACATTTTGAGATCAACGGATTAAAAAAAAAAAAAATGGATAACTTCACTTGTGCATATGGCCGCAATGTGAAATATGTCTTAGTCTGTTATAAAAATCTGTCGGTCCATGGAGTATTAGAGCACATAATTCTCACAAGATAAATCTGGCAACCAGCCTCTGAAGACCATATTTATCACAAGACTCTGGATAGCAGAGTTTGCAGCTGCAACATCAATGTTACACAATAGTGTCAGATCACAAAAAAAAAATTGTGTATAACAACCTGATTCAAGTTTTACCTTAAACTTCAAAACATTAAACGTTCCGTTATGAAAAACGGAAGGCAAGAAAATTCTCACATTTGACAAACTTTTTTACCTTTCAACAAGAATTTAAATGATATATCCATGTTCAGAGTTGCTGGTTTCCCATTTGATTCTCATTCAGAGTCAATGGATCAATCAAGTGCTGATCAGTAGTTCTACCATTAAATATTTGGGGAGCTTGGACTCTGCTAAAGCAAGTAGGATACTGACAGAAACTCACAACTCCATGTAAGCCAGGAGTTTGTTCAGATGCTTTACAATTCTTGCAAGCAATGTGCAATTAGGAATATAGAGGTGGTTGTTTTATTGCCAAAAGCTAATAAGCAGCGTAATGGCTGTTAGTAATATTTTCCTGCGTGTACATGGCACTGAGGCTTTAGCTCAACTCAATACTCTCATTGTAATACCTACAATCAGCGGCTTAGCAGTATAAAATAAGTTTCCCTTTGGAAAGGATTTCCAGCTCTGTGGTTGTGGTCTAACTTCTGTAATTAATATTTCCACAACACGCCTCCTCTCCTACTCGCTGACTGTTTAAATGGATTGTTTGAAAAGCCAACACTGGGATACCAGTGATCTAACAAAAATCCAGCCGTGGTTGTGAAGTTACAATTCAAACCACTGTAGTGCAAAAGGTAGTAGTAAGTTTACATTTCAGTGAATGGTTGGCGTTAGTATGATCACACTGATCTCTGTATGTTATTCACTTGGCACTAAGCAAAAAACACTAGACTGCCTTCAGTATTTACTTTGCACCAATTTGCAAATGAATGAAGAGTTATGTGCAAGTGGGATGGAAATGAATAATTCAAAAAGAGCACTTATGAGGGTTAGATTATGCGCATCTCGAGAAATCAACTTTGCTTGGTAGTACATTTCTGTACACGCATGAAGAACAAAGTCATGGATTGTACCAAAAGCCAACAAATTACCATAAAACTGTGCAGGGATTCTTTCATGAGCAGAGTTGTTGGACTGCTTCATGCTGGTCTAACATTTGAGATCTTTGAGATGCAAAGTTAACAACTGTTGACGCAAGCCAGAGGGGAGAAATATTAAGTGCAACTTTACAACAAAAATAAGGGGGCAGAGAAAGAGTGAGGTCTCTGTGCAGGCATGTCATACATGCAAGCTTGCACTCAAGTTACCACTTCGAAGGAAACCCTGAGGCCAAGCTGCTGGATGCTCATAAAGATGGTCGTTTGATTTCCGTGGTTCTCCACTTTCATTGTTATGGAAAGGTTCTGTAAACACTGGAAGAATACCTTCCAAACACATGTAGGGAAACCTGCTCCTTTTTAAGCTTTTAGGCCATCCACAAATAGGTACTCACCATAACAAACCAAACAACCCCCCAAAATGTGCAGGATCTTTTAAATATTGAGATAACTCAAGAAATAATGGGAATTTTAACTAAAAACTACTGCGTGAAGAAACAAAACTCAAAGGGCACCCACCTTATTCCTTTTGGAGGTATGCTGAACAGACCTGTGGTGTTTAAATCCATCCACAATGACTTCTATGAACATTTAAAGATACATTTTTTCTTCTGTCACCTTTGAAACTGACTTAATTCCAAAGACAGATATGAACAGTGTTAGTTTTCAGTTATCATCGTGTTAGTTTATCATCATGTAACAGGGCAAAAAAGAAGCGCATAATTTGCATTGAAAACTAGCCCTGTGGTATTTAAATCAAGTTTCCCCTTCCTGATACCTTTCATCTCTAAATGTATGCCTGATGTGGTTTGGGCTTGTTTTATTGGATGTCATTCAGCATTTTTTGATACCCAAAAACTAGTTGATCCGTTTTTTCCCTCCTCATTAATACTTGCAACAACTTGACTGCATTTGCATGTGGGTCTGCAGCATGTATGTGCTTATAAGCTGTCGTGGCAATTGTGAATTTAAGTGTACTTCACAAACCCTGGATGTTCAAAGGTTCAGCTGCACTTCAAGTGATGCAACAACACATGACTGTTAGCCATCCTGTTACTGTAACTTCAGTCTTTATAAAAGTTATTTTCCGCTGTGTATTGTAACAGTTAAGATGTTATTGCTGGTATTATCTTTACAAGTGCTTCAATCACTTGCACAGTAGGCAGTGTCTTGGCTCGCAAGACATAGGAGCTGCTGACTAAGAAGCTGCACCACAACCAAATAGGGTGAGATATTTTTTTATGAGCCCATGTTTCTCCTGATAGCATGAACTGCAAAAACACGTTGGCTAGTTGTAAATTAATAGTAATCACTATCTATCTATTTTCCCTCCATATATATGAAATCTGATGCGGCTACAGACCTACACAGTGACAAGACAGGAAGTAACACTTTCAGCAGCAGTCTATGGCAGTGACGCTGCAACAAACGTGACATAAGGTCATTGGAGTACACAAATGAGCTGCCGCTTTTCAGTTGAGTCACCTGCATACGGTCTGTTTACTAAGGTGTAGTCTCATTACACCAACAAACAGCGCTGGATCAGTGATGTGCTGTGCTTCATGCAACAATGTACCGCACTCAAATCACACGCTTCTCATTTTCGAAACTGTCCAAATGACCACGGAGGTGCTCAAAAACCTGCAAGGTGTCAAGGCGGGCATCTTGCCCGCTCTGCACGTCTTGCATAATTTGTTCATGCTGGTGTATTCATACACTGGGCTCGAACGGCTGGACATGCATGTTAACCCAGCTGCGTGTCTCCCATCATTCAGGCACAGCACATGACTGTTTGCACCCCCAAAACAACCGAGGTGAGACTGAATTATTGGGCATCAACACTCCGCGCACAAAAAAGCCGCATCTTGCCCGGCTCGACCGCTGGACCGCACCGCCAGCTTCAGTGCGGCAGCGTCTGTCACCACTGATAAACTTGTATGATTGAGTGATGCGATCATGCGTGCAGACGGCGCTAGGACCACGCGGGAGTTTGATCGGATATCGAGCCGATTTTTCCTTCTAATGATGCGGACGGCGTGGTAAGCCGGGTCTCCTTACCTGTCTCCGCCTCGGTCATGATTTGCCCGCTTGCGCTCTAACATTGAAATTCCCATGTTTCACACACCGGTAATGCCCATCCATGTCTCACAATCCAGTCGCTTCTCCAAGGTCTGCCTGTCCACGGACCATGCGTGTTGTTTCCACACCGCTGAGAGGGGCGGAGCCCACGGCCCTTGGAGACGGAGTACAAGTGGATCATGAGAATGCCACTTATGTTTTCTCACAGCCAATCGGCTGTGCAGCTTCGAATCGGCGTCCAGTGACTTTGTCCACTAAATGTTTTGGTGTACAAAAAGAAAATAATAAGAACCGGAGACCATAAAAAAAGATCTCTGCGCATTTCTCCTTATTGCAGAATGCTTACGCGTCTAGCGCCTGGAGGTCTTTCTGTGTAAGCAAATCTATGCGAGGTGATATGTGATGGAGACTGAACTCGGTTTAAGCAGTGTAAGCAACCATCAGTCATTATCACTGTCGAGATTTCATAGCTAAAATCTGCAAATTCGTGACCAGTTATAATAAGACAGGCGCCAAGGTATGAAACAAACTCCTTTAAAACAAATATCACAGGATCTGCGTGCGCCTTTCAAAGGGTCCTGAAATTTCTGTTATGTTAAACCCCCTCATGCAGGACAATTTATTAACAAAATAAGTTTGATCAACAGAAATACATCACATGATCAAATGGCAGTAACTCTTCAATATTCACTCCACATGATCCTACAAGGTGTGACCTTAGGAAACAGGGTGTACTCTACCCTCTACTGGCAGGAATGAAATATTATTCACATGACAACCTTTTTTTTCCATGTGAAGACTTAAATATCAACGTAGTACAAAGGCAGTCTACTAAAAACAAAATACCAAAAATGTTATATAATTTTCTTCCATACACAAAACTCTGATAAAGGAATATGCTCAAAAATACAGACATTGCCTTTGTTTGTACCTGCACCTACCAATTAAAGACTCAACCATAAACTCCACAACTTTTAGGTATACAAAAAAATAACAAACAGCTACAAGCAATTACATTATTTACAGCAACAAATCTCTTGGTTGATGAACTTAAAGAAGTTGGTATCACATCACAAAATAGTGTATTCCTTTTCATTTTGGACGCTGGGAAAGGGATCTGGTGCAGTGACAATTTTAAACAGTTTTTTTGATGCACCACTCAAAGATAACAGCAGTCTTTGTCACAGTGGTTCCACATAAACCCCGCTCCTTTCCATAGGTTCATTAGTCCTCTTGCATTTACCACCTCCCTCTGTGAAAAGGTGGACACCCAAATCCAGGCCTCGCATTTCGGAACTGCCTTCCTTCCCTGTCATTTATGCTCTCGGGTCCCATGGAAGGATGTCGATGGAAGGGGGGACCGCGAGGAGGGAACGGCATGGGCATTCTGAACCTGTCTGATGGAAACATGGGTCCTCCTGGAATCATTTGCGGGGGCATTTGTGGCATGCTTGGAGGTGAGAGGAAAGGAGGCATATGAGGATTTGTCATGCCGGGAGGCGGTTGCAGAGGTGGCATACCCGGGCTGTGTCCCTGCATGATAGCAGGGCTCGGCAGGGTCATTACTGGTGATGTGGGATGCCCCAGCTGGTTGGCAGTCATGACATCAACAGAAGCACCTTTCTTTCCTTTAGGATCTTCTGTGGATATCTCTGGAGATTTTATACTTCCTGTTGCAAAAGAGTTTAAGATAAGGTTGTATTGATTTTCAAACAGAAATGAAGTATAATTGCAGCAGGAAAAAAAAGAGAAAACATTTAAAGAAATGCAGCATAGATTTTTACTAAATTTAAACACAATCTACTTTGACTGCCACTGAATCTTAGGTTTAGATAACAGATTTTAAAATCCATAGCATTTAGCGAAGATTTCTCACCGGCTGCCAACTTTGTTGGATCAAACTCTGTGGGGATGAAAGGAACTCCTGCTGGAGGCATGGATGTAGGAGATAGCATAATAGGGCTTGGGAAGACAGGCGAACTTCCGATGAGTTCTGTCTGTTGAACTGGTGGTAACTGGAAGACAAAGAAATATAATGGTATCCTTAAAATTAGTGTAAATGAAAAAGATAATCTTTCTGATGTGACCTTAAAGATTTTTTTTAAATTCAATTCAATTTTACGTATATAGCGCCAAATCACAACAACAGTCACCACAAGGTACTTGCTGTTGTATGGTAAAGACTCTACAATAATAGAGAGAAAACCCAACAATCAAACGATTCCCTTTAAGCAAACAAGTAATAGCGTGAAGGAAACACTCCCTTTAACAGGAAGCAACATCTGATTCTGGTTCAGCATCTTCTGATTCCATAGCATAATGTTGCTCATTGATAACACCCACTGGTATTTTTTTGGTGTCACTTGAAAAAAAAAAAGTTTTTAATTGGTATTTTATTTTACAGCATTCCTCAAAGTTTTCATTAATCCACAGAAAACTGAGTTCTCTGCTGCTAATCACACAATATCAAACTGAAATAAACATTAAAGCTGTTGCAAAAGGTTAAAAGGTTGGCATGTGGCAGATGTCCACAGATCAACAAGAGGCTAACACCTTCACCTTGGAAAGTAGATTGCACAGTAGATTTAAGCACTGTATTTGTTTATTTGCAATACAATTTTTGAAATTGCACCAACGTTTGGTCAGGTACCAGTAAAATATGACTTTTATGTCTTTAAATCTGCTAAAATTCATCCCAGTCTGATTTATGATCAAAGATATGAAAGGCATCAAAGTGTGCCATGTTGACATTTAGGCAATCATTTACAAGTCAGTAATCATTTTAAGAGGAATCAGTCTCATAAAACTTTACCAGAAACAGAATAAGTTGGTTATGTGACACTGATTACAAAGAAAAAGACCACCACTTCTATGTGAACGAACTGAACTTTAAAGGGCATGGCATTTAAAAAAGGTTTTAGTTAGGAAGTTCAGATTTTAGACAAATGTTTTACTTTCAGGCCATTTTTAACTGAACTGAACCACT